CATACGAAAGTCGGTATTATAATTTTTTTTGTTTTTTATTTTACACAAAACCTATTGAGAAAAAATAAAATATTGATATTTATATATATATATATATATAATTATTTTAATATAAACTCACCTCTTGAGGTTGATTTTATTAATTAAACATATATAATTTAACTACACATCAACATATAATATATGTATATGTATACATACATATATATACATCTATGTATATATATACATCTATGTATATATATATATATATATATATATATATATATATATACACACACATCTATATATATATATGTAAATTTATTAAATTAAACTTCTGTTGATGTGTAGTTAAATTTTATATATATATATATATATATATATATATATATATATATATATAATTATTTTAATATAAACTCACCTCTTGAGGTTGATTTTATTAATTAAACATATATATATATCTATATATATGTATCACATTAAATTTTAAGAATACAAAATGGTCCTCCGGAAAATGATTTAAATAAAATTAAATCAAAATAGAAAATAATACCGACATCAAGAGGTCGGTTTTTATTGTAATTCATTTTTTGGGAAAAATTCCGACTTCTTGAGGTCGGAATTTGGTTTACCCGTAAATCGCAAACCAACCTCCGGATGTCGCTTTTAAAAGTAATTAGATGAAATAAAAATACCGACCTCCGGATGTCGTTTTAATTAATAGTCGAAATAAAAATACCGACCTCATGAGGTCGGTATTTTAATTACATACTATTTAATTTTTACCGACATTCGGAAGTCGGTATTATGAAATATTTAATTGAGAAAAAATTCCGACCTCAGGAGGTCGGAATTTTTAATGAATTACAATAAAAACCGACCTCTTGATGTCGGTATTATTTTCTCAATTAAATATAAAAAATACCGACCTCATGAGGTCGGTATTTTATATTAATTTATTTTTACTATTTAATTTTACCGACATACGGAAGTCGGTATTATAATTTTTTTTGTTTTTTATTTTACACAAAACCTATTGAGAAAAAATAAAATATTGTTATTTATATATATATATATATATATATATATATATATATAATTATTTTAATATAAACTCACCTCCGGAGGTTGATTTTATTAATTAAACATATATAATTTAACTACACATCAACATATAATATATGTATATGTATACATACATATATATACATCTATGTATACATACATATATATACATCTATGTATATATATACATATATATATATATATATATATATATATATATATATGTAATTTAATAAATTTACATATATATATAGATGTATATATGTGTATATATATATGTAAATTTATTAAATTAAACTTCTGTTGATGTGTAGTTAAATTTTATATATATATATATATATATTAATATAAACTCACCTCTTGAGGTTGATTTTATTAATTAAACATATATAATGTAACTACACATCAACATATAATATATGTATATGTATACATACATATATATATATCTATGTATATATATATATATATATATATATATATATACACACACATATATATACATAATTATTTTAATATAAACTCACCTCTTGAGGTTGATTTTATTAATTAAACATATATATATCTATATATATGTATCACATTAAATTTTAAGAACACAAAATGGTCCTCCGGAAAACGATTTAAATAAAATTAAATCAAAATAGAAAATAATACCGACATCAAGAGGTCGGTTTTTATTGTAATTCATTTTTTGGGAAATAATCCGACTTCTTGAGGTCGGAATTTGGTTTACCCGCAAATCGCAAACCGACCTCCGGATGTCGCTTTTAAAAGTAATTAGATGAAATAAAAATACCGACCTCCGGATGTCGCTTTAATTAATAGTCGAAATAAAAATACCGACCTCATGAGGTCGGTATTTTAATTACATACTATTTAATTTTTACCGACATTCGGAAGTCGGTATTATGAAATATTTAATTGAGAAAAAATTCCGACCTCAGGAGGTCGGAATTTTTAATGAATTACAATAAAAACCGACCTCTTGATGTCAGTATTATTTTCTCAATTAAATATAAAAAATACCGACCTCATGAGGTCGGTATTTTATATTAATTTATTTTTACTATTTAATTTTACCGACATACGGAAGTCGGTATTATAATTTTTTTTGTTTTTTATTTTACACAAAACCTATTGAGAAAAAATAAAATATTGTTATTTATTTATTTTTTTAATACCGACATCAAGAGGTCGGTTTTTATTGTAATTCATTTTTTCCGAGAAAATTTACGACCTCCAGAGTTCGGAATTTGGTTTTCCCGCTTTCCGCAAACCGACCTCCGGATGTCGCTTTTAAAAGTAATATGATGAAATAAAAATACCGACCTTCGGATGTCGCTTTAATTAATAGTTATTAGATGAAATAAAAATACCGACCTCCGGATGTCGCTTTAATTAATAGTAATTAGATGAAATAAAAATACCGACCTCATGAGGTCGGTATTTTAATTACATACTACCGACATTCGGAAGTCGGAATTATAAAATATTTAATTGAGAAAAAATTCCGACCTCATGAGGTCGTAATTTTTAATGAATTACAATAAAAACCGACCTCTTGATGTCGGTATTATTTTCTCAATTAAATATAAAAAATAGCGACCTCATGAGGTCGGTACTTTTATTGTAATTCATTTTTTCCGGGAAAAATTCCGACCTCCGGAGGTCGGAATTTGGTTTTTCCGCTTTATTTTGCATAAAAACCGACTACTTGTAAATACTGACCTCCGGAGGTCGGAAATTACCGACCTCCATTTGAGGTCGGAAATTTTTAGGTCGGTATTCACTGTCTTTTTAGTAGTGTATGCTTGCTTTATAGAACTGTTAGGTTGGGCTGATTTCTATGGAGGTTGTAGTTTGAGGAGGTTCGGTTGGGATGAAATAAGTAATCGGTTTCTAGCTAGGTTGCCTTGTTTATTAGCGTGCTTGATGGGTACCATGTTGTTGGTACTCACTCTATTCTTCTACACTTGTGTAGGTTCCGAGCCCGGACCCATGTGATCTCCTTCTTCTTCTCCTTCTCCTTCTCCTTCTCCTTCTCCTTCTCCTTCTACTTTTTCTGCTTGTCTGCGGGCCCTCTTGTTCCTTTACTTTATGCTTTGTTCTACTTGAGAAACAAAGACTTGAGACTTGTATTTATCTTTTAAATTATGTATTTACATTAGTGGCTTGTAAACGTGACAACCAGGTCTTGTGGTGTTAATAGAAAGAATACTTTTTCCGTTTTTATCTTGTTCTTGCTGTACCTCTCCATTTTTTGTTTCGTATCATTTGGTTGAGGCTGACTTGTCTCGGTGGAAATAGACAAGTCTTGTCACGCTCATATTTGGATCGTGACAAAGATGACAAGCGTTGGTGTGACGGCTATTATTAACTCTGGTGATCTGGTTCAAGCATTTGACACGCCAATTCGATGTGTTGGAAAAACCATCACCGGTGAAACAATTGCATTTCGTACATTAAAAATGCTAGTGAAAAGGGCCGATCAGAAGTGCAAGTCTTATTAGATGCGGAAACTATGATTGATATGGTACTACCAAGAACTATAGTTTCATGGGAAATAGGGACTACTTCTGAAAACAATAGAAAACTTATGAGGTTCATTGAAGAGGTCAATGTGGTGCAGATTCCTAGATCTTGGAATATAGTAGCGCATAATTTAGCAGAGTTTTATATTTTGTTAGTATATAAAGTTGCTTAGTTTTATGTTTTTTTCTAAATGGATTGTAAGTGGTGCTATCACATCATTTAACTCCTTGAACCTTTTTATACATTAATATAACAAGTCTGTATTGGTTGCAAAAAAAAAAAAAAACTAATATAACAAATTTGTGGAAATGTTATTGAATGAACCAAAAATCATTTACATCCATTGAATGTGTCCAAATTCAGTTTTTTTATTTTATACATCCTCATTTCAACTCTAAAATTTAAACAAGTGAGTCCTTGGATAACTTCTTAGATTCATGATTTTCCTTATCTTGATAACCATCCTTCCCACCCAGAAGTGGGGTACTAGTATCTTTCTCTTTACCCTGAGATGATATAACAAAATCAATATTACCAAAAAACAAAATACAATCATATAACTCATGAACTTTTACACTGTTAGTATATTTTAACATGTTTGTAGCTGAAAATTATTTCATACTTTTTAGATAAATATATTTTTGACTGTTAGGGTCATTCGCTTGCTCTTTAGGAAGAGAATTATTCATCTATTAAAATAATTGGCATAATTAATACTCCCATATTTTATAGTTTTTTAGTTTCTAATTTGTATAAAATTCAGCACACTAAGTAGGACTTTGGTTATCATGAATAACTAAATTTTGCATGCAACATTATTAATACGTGTATGACTCTAATCAACTAAACCACCAGTAATGTATAAAAGTTGAAAGTGGTAAAAAAAAAAAAGAGAAATAGAGGGAGATATTCTTACTTGAGAAATGGAAGAATGATCTCCAGGCTGTTTCTTTTTAGTTTCATGTGTGCAAAAATAGGAATACAATCCCATGCCAACAATGGCAACAAGTATACCAACAATGTTTCTTAATGTGAAGGGATCATGCAGCAGTGTATAGCCAAATCCTAGAACAAGGCATGTTTTTAAGTGACCTAACACTTGGTATGTCACTGGTGATGTCTTCCCAATCACTAAAAATGTGCTGAAATTCACTGACACAGCAATCAAGCACGACAACAATATGAAGCCCTACAACATCATTCATTTGAATGGCAAAATCAGAATTTTCACTAAGCAAATTCTAAGCATAGGAAAACACTTAAAAGAATTCAACATTTACTATATATACACAAAAAATATTTTTTATATGTGTGAGTGTAATTTTTTTAATAAAGGGAGTTCAGATAAACCCTCGTATGGTATCCTAGCTCCACTCATGATCCATTTTCTCATTCTAAAAGAATTTCCATAAAATCACGAGTTTTCTAAGAATGTTTCCATAAAATTTTTAATAAAAGTAAGTTTTCTTGAATTTATTTGATATACACCGTTAATGTAAAACATTTCTACGTTATTAGTGTACTTTAACCTATTATCGGTAACAAATAATTTATAGGTAGAACATACACATTATACTACGCATAAGAAAAATGGGATTAGGGTTTTGCTTACCAATACAACATTGGAGTATTTGTGAGCAAAAACATTCTTGTTGGTAAGGAATTGATCCACCAAAGGCCCTGTCACAAATAGAATACCTGCTTGGAAAGGGGCTGATTGGTACAATAATTGTGTAGATGAAATGTTGAGCCTCTTTTGAATTGTATTTGTGAGCTGAATTCTAGGGGTCAAGTCAAATCATGAAATAACCATTGACATTCTTTTGGAAACAAAGAAAATTACATTATTTGTGAAAACAAAAATAATTTAATAATATAGGCTATAATAATTGGAAGATAACTTTTAAGTTAAATGACTATATATCAAGTAAATATTCAATTCTATTTCTCAGGTTATCAAATGATCATGTTTGTTATGATGTAAATTTCTTATTTACCGTCAGTGCACATTACATATAGTACTTGGACCAGTAAGTAAGATATAATTAGTCCAACACCATGTTATTTAATTATTCGATTTTCAAGGTTATGAGACCAAATATTTTGTTATAAATTACAGACGGCTATTATTGGAAATAACTTAACTAGACGAAATCGTAAGAGGATACAATTTGTCCGATACAAGTTGTAATAATGGCTAGTAGAGAGAGGATTGTGCCAACAAAATTGAGCTGAAGATCGGTAATGGAGGCAATACCCACTCCGAGCAGCAGAATTAATAGAGAGAATTTCACATTTCGGCTGCAAAAAAAATAAAATTAAAATGTAGAAACAAAACAACTCGTAATTATTTATTTTGAAATTTCGAATTACCTGAATTGTTTTTTTAAGAATATAGTTTCTAAAAGTACAGTGAAAGGTATAATTGCTAACTTTGTCATCTGCAAACGAAACGTACACACAAGAAAGAAAGAAAGTTAGCAAATTGATAATAACTTCTACTCCCTCCGTCTACTTTTAACTATCATGGTTTTCTTTTTTACAGTTAAACTATAAGAATTTTGACTAATATTTTACATGTATTCTTTATTATATTGATATGCAAAAAATTGCAATTTATAGTATTTTTCGTATATTTTTTGAATATCTAAATTTTTTGTTTAAAATATCAAATTAATGTAATCTAATTTAACTTTGAAAATTAGTCAAATTGACTTTCGAAAACTGCAACATGGCAATTAAAAATGGACGGAGGGAGCATTATTTTTTTTATGGACCAAAAGAATTTACTTATAAAAAAATACTATTTGAATATATGTACCTGGTAAAAGCCAATAGAATTAAAACCAAGGCTGAGATTGAGAAAGCCAATGGAAATGCCATTTAAGATACCAAAGAGAATCACAGTCTTCATATCAATGGGTTTGTTCTCAAACAAATTGAATTTGAGAGCCACATGAAGTGTAACAAATGTCACCATCAGATGCCAACTTGTTAATGTTGTTGCTGCAAATTAAATTTGAATTCTTTTTTTGTCAGTGTCCATACATTGATAGAGTAAATCAGTACGTAAAATATCACATCTCCTTTAATTATTACACGTATTTTGTAAGTCATAAAATGTCACTATTAATTTGTTGCAATTGAGGTTGATGTGTATAATTAAAAGAGATGACATATTTTATGTGGTTAAAACTTAAATCACTCAATTACCTAATAGATGTTGGAGAACACACACAAAAGTTTTTTAAATAAATTTGAACGAAAAGTGTCTAATAAGAACACTCTATCATGCGTTCAGGTTTTAGGAGCTCAATTGAAATAAGTCTTAATTCGAGTGTCTAAATAAATTTATCGACAAAATTTAAAAATCTTCGTATTAAGCCAAAAATATTTTATATAATCAAGGTACTGTTAAGGTCATAGCCTCATAAAATTGATTAATTAGTGTGTGAGAAATACATTACAGAAATTAATTTCACAATTAATATATTGATTTCATTAATAGATGAATTTTATTCAAGTAATATAAACTGATCTTGACATGACTACATATTCAAGTTAATTAAAAAGGAAGTAATTTTTTATTTTCCACCACACATGCCTGAACACCAAACACATACATAACTAACACAATTTATTTTAGATTTCCTCTTTTTAAAAGTTTGGTGGTTTTAATTATTATAATAATAAACGTATATCACAATTACATTAATTAATATGCCAAGTTGGTGCAAATTAATTAATTAATTAATAAAGGAAGATGAATTACCAAATGGGAAACCAAGATTGCTCATCAAAGCTTTGTTGCAAATAACAATGGAGACTGAGGATGCCACTGAGAGAAACAATGCTCCCACCACACCCAATTGGAAGCTTGTCTTCTCACCCATCTTATTTATCAATCAAAACAACAATTGAAAATAAAAATTAGTTGTTTAATTGATCTCTTTCTATCTTTGATTAGTATTAACTACTGAAACAATAACTGGGCCTCATTTTTAAATAAGTGAAGATCGGCTATATGAATTACATATAATTGTCTATATCGATCTCTCAACGTAATTCAGTATTCCGAAAAATCATGTGCATCATTATATCATAACCCTTCTCTTTTATTCAAAATTGAGACACACAATGGAGTCCTACTATATACTACTCGAAAATAAGCAATCAGTGACGGAATAAATTGCATAGCTAAACAACAAAAAAATCATGCTAATCACATCTAATTGCGGATTAGTGATGGATTCTATGAAAATCCAATTATGTAGGAGCTATTTTACAACTGATTAACTAGAGATTACTAAAATAATTTGTAGCTAATTCGATATTTTCTTACTGAGTTTTTTTTTTTTTTGATATTTTCTAGTAATCTCTGATTTTAAAAAAGAGAGGATTGTGTGGATGCAAAATTTGACTGGCAAAGTGGCGGGACATGACAATTGTCTACCTTAATGAATCTAAAATTGCCGTAGTCGTAAATGTTCAAAATTGAAAATTAAAGGAGATTATATACCTTAAATCTATCTAAATATACTGACGAGCCCTATAATTAAGCAAATAAGTACATGTAAAACACCAATAATATCAATATAGCCAACATATATAAGGGGAAAAAAGAATACATGAAGAAACTTGCAATTAACAAAATGAAAAATATACCTCTCGAAAATGTTAGTGATATAATTGTGACTATACCAATGAACTAATAGGCTCCTACAACTCCAAGAAACACAGGCCAAATTTCAAGAAAATTTGAAAAGTCTTTTTGAGAATGTAGAACAAAGAAGCCACATCTTTTATTTACACTTGTGGGGTGGGTGGTTGGGTCTAACAACATTAGTAATTCGAGTTTAAATAATTAATCATGTGCATTAATAATATAAATTTCTTACATTATTAAATTAGGCCAATGTTCAATGTTATGTGACACTTTATAATAAGCTTGATATGGTAATATGAAAATTAAAGTAATAACCTGCTATAACACGATAAATTGTATTGGTAGTGAAAATAATATTTGCACCGTCAATGTATAGAACTAGAATTATCCTAATAATAATTATTTTTATTTTTAAAATTAAAATAACAATCCTATTCTGAAAATAATTTTCTTATATCGGAAACAACATCTCTATTTGTTCTATTTTTTTCAGTAGTTTGGTTTAATTTCAAGGCCTAGCGGTTGATGATCATTTTGGTAGCTAACGGCTGGTATAAGCAAAGTCATGATTTGACTGACTTTAGGTTAACAAATATTCCCTAATTAACTCTAAAAACTATGAGCAATCATTTCACAACAAAGCAAGAAAGTATTTTTAAATTGCATGAATTTTGAGTTTTAACTATTCATGTACTTGAATTTTAAAATCTTGAAATTGGATGATCCTAATAAATAATAATAATAACGCATGGTTTGCATTAATTTTATGTTCATTATTATAATCTAATGAATCAAATAATGGTTTCAATTTGTGGAACAATAAATAAAATGGAGTATAGTTTAGAGTTTTTATTTTTAATGAATACTAAGAAAGAGTAGTGAGATATTAATGAAATACTTTTTTATTTTATTTTGTATTTTCTATGTTCATCTTGATATTGAAGTCATGAGAAAGGTGAAGTGAACGTTTCTTATGAGACAATGTACCAACCTAAACTAACAAACTGCTGGCACCCCCACCAAAGTCAAAACCAATGTGTTTGGTGGCAAAATATAAAACTTCAATTTTACTCCAAATATACATCTTATATTAAAATAGAAAATGGTGTTTGAAAAGCTTATATTAAGAATTCCTGATCTATATATGCATGCATTTTCTCAAGTACCCTTTTGGTGTCTTTCATTTAAACTACAAAGTACATGTAGGAAATTGTAAAGTTGTTTGCGACTTGAGACATAAAGATTATTCCAAGTACATGAACTTAGTAATTTCCTTCTTATTTCCTAAATTATACAAAATGAATAACTTTAATATCTTTGCTAATATTGAGACACAAAGTACCCTACCCTAGCTTTTCAACAAGGGAGATGACGCATATATATACACATAAAATAAAAGAGATGTATTTATAAAACGTGCCGAGAGGGTAGATAATAAAATTCGCGTTCAGAAAATAATAATTAAGAACAGAAAATATCGTAACAATTTTCTTTATTGATTTCAAATATGAGTGTTACAATCTCTATGAATCTTTTGATTCGTCTTTTCAAATACAAATTCAAGGGCTCTTGTGTTAGATATATATAGAGCAAAATCGACGAGTTGTGTACCTTATATTTGCCACGGAGGTCGTTGATTTTGTACTTTAACAGAATCGCTCCAAAGTCCCTCTTTAAATCACTAGGAAATAAAGTTTGATTCACAAACTAATGTCTATCTTCAGACAAAAAAGGTTTTTTTTTCTTCTGGTTTGTGTTATCTTTTTTTGTTGTGTTTTACATTATCTTCCTTTTATGTAAAGAAATAAATCTTTTTATCAAGAGGGGTTGTTTTTTAGTTTAATAACCCCCCCCCCCCCCCCCGCCCTCAAATAAGAGATAATTAATTTTTATTTCTTCTCAGACATTTTCTTGGGTCAGGTCAGATTAGATCGGGTCGAATCGGTCCACATGGGCGACCCACGACCCAAAATTTACATCTCTCACTTCGCACATGGTGGACAAGACCCAAGTCAATACAACATCAACTAAACACATAAATCATACAACAAATAGTTCGTGCGACTCATGAGCATCAAAAGCTTACCGATAGGATTTTACTAGCTCCATATAGAAATCTAATCACTTTTAAAAAAAATTCACTATTAATATGAAGGTATCATTACTCACAATACCCCAGACTTATTTCACTACTTCAGTAGTTACTTATTCGATCTCTCATCCTCTTAAAGAGGTGAACTCGAGTTCATGTTCAACTTTATATACAAAATTACACTCGCGTACTACAAAAAAATGTTCAATTTATGGGGGTTATTTGTCAATTTATGGTGGTTTAGGGATCCCACAAATTAAATTGTGGCGATTTCTAAAAATACTACAATTACCCTTGCCACGAGCATATTTGCAGCGATTTTAGTAAACCTCCACGACGCTCCCCGCAAAATGACTTTTAAATTTGTGGAGGTTTTTTAGTATCAGTTTGTGACAGTTTAGAACCTTCACAGTATGATCTCAATATTTTAAAAATTAAATTTGTGTGAATTTAAAATTTTCATGACATGAGATTAGTATTTAAATATATAATTTGATTTCTGGAATCTTACAAAATTATTATTATTATTATTATTATTATTATTATTATTATTATTATTATTTTAACAATAAATGTGGAATTTGATTTACATCAAGTCTTCAAAATAATAAATAATTTTTCTAAATAACACATTTAAAGCAAATCAAATTTCATTAAACAAATTTGTATTAATAAGTTTCACAAATTCGATTATATCAAATAAAAATAATTTAAACTTTTGTATAACAACTTCGACATTACAATTTTAAATCCTTTAAAATCTACATCAAAATAAATATTAAAATTTCTATAGCATGCATTTATTTGGTGATTTAAGTTGTTGAACTTGTCATCCAATATTTTTATCCAAAGTGAAATAAGCTCAATCTCCACATCAGGCTGAAACAATGAAAAACATTATACATAATTAGATAAACATATATTGATACATATATCTTCGTACATGATAAAAAAAAAAATTAAATCAATTCATTTCAAACATAAATTCATATAAAGTTTTGATTGACAAAAAAATATAAGATTATGTATTTGATGTTCTCTCTTATACCCTAATAATAATAATGTGAATAACAACGACTTCATGATTATTCCTATGTAAGCACAAACTAAATTTATATTTTTCAAAATCATGTAAAGATGCTCATTCTATTTAACATGTTGGTTCAAATATTTCTCACTTTTGATAATTTACAAGTTAGACTTTCTTCTTTGACCTTATTTTTTTCATTACCAAAAAAATAATTATAACTTCAGCAATTTACCATATTGAATAAGTTATATTGAAATCGATCACAATCTTATATGCAAAATCGTCCTTTAATTTGTAACAGTCAAATTCAATCAAGAATAAAATGATAACATCATCCTTAACAAAACAAAAACAAAATTGAGGCTTACCATAAATCAATCAAAGATTGGGTATGAATTACTTTACGATGTGGTGAGAATTTAAACAAATCATGTGATATGTAAAAATATTGATACATTAAATTTAACAACTTGCAAATAAAAAATATCTATAAATTAAATAATAATATAAATTCTAAATTCTAATATGAATCATCAAACTCACCTAACAAAGAATTACCTTTATACTTAAATAATTATTTACCATTTGTAGCACTTTGCAAAGCCTACCTAAAAAAAAAGGTAATTAGCAAATTCACACACAAAAAAATGAAACAAAAATAAAGTAAAGAAGAGTGAGAGAGACAAAGGGATAAAGGAGAGGAGAGGAGTTATGGAAAAAGAAAAGGGTTAAGGGGAAAAGGAAATGAGATGTGTGCGTGTGTTTTACGTAGGAATGGGTGGGAAGGAGGGGTAGTTATTTCATTTTGATTGGATTTGAAAGGTTTTAGGGGGAAATTAATTATATAATTAGGCTTTAAAAATATTTTGGAGGGAGAGGTATTAAAATTTGGTTGAGTTGGTTCAAAATTAAAGATAAAAGATTTTTTTATTACGTAGAACAAGATTTTATTATTTAATCTTATTAATTTGTAATGACTATTGATTAAAATGTTTCACCTTAAAAAATCAATGAGTACTATAAAAGCTTAAATAAAGTTTAAAAAAAACAAAATAAATATAAATGCATATGACTATTTATTTGGCATTTGAGTTTTTTTTATATATATAAAAATTGATAATTATAAA